CCAGCTGAAGTTCATGACTGCCTTCAGCCAGTGACTCCTTACCTATGTGATGTGTCTTATTTTTAATGTTAGCAAGTAAATAAGTTCAAGTTTTAGTCAAATATTTAAGTGCAGTTGACTTTAAACAGAATTAGTTAACCTTCAGTTGCCCTGATACTTTTTTGTTTGTTTGTAAACCAAAAGGTTATTGAGTGAAGTATAACCTAAATTCAGAGTCAGCTAAAGGAGGATTAATCAGTATAGGACAAACATATTGCTTTCATGATTAACAGATTTTCACTTCATTACCCTTGTCCTTGATTCCTTCAGCTCAAAGCTAAAACTTTCCCAGAGCCCTTCAGTCTATTTTGGCAGCTATCTGAAAGAACTTCAGGAAGTAAACTGATAGATTTTAGTTTCAGTTAGGTATCATCTAGATAAATATCATCGGCAGAGAGAATCGTTCAAAGATCTCTTTTTAAGGCTTTCCAATAATGTAAATTCTTAGAGTCTGCCAGCATTTACTTAACTTCTTTTGTCTTTCAGTTTCTTTGTTTTGAGATGACTTAAGCAATGCAAACTGATATCTCATCTCATTTCATCTTGTCTCAAACTTTTAGAATTTTAATCGGCACCCCTGATTCACTTATTCGATGTCATCTGTCTCATTTGCTCTTCTCTTCTGTGCCTTTCTTCTTACTCTTCTCCTCTCATGCCAAACGTTGGTCTTGTTAAGGATGTTAGGATTCTTCTTAAGAATTCACAAATCAGCTTTTTCTTTATACGCCGGTACTTCTTGTCCATATTTTCCTGTAGCTTTTATCGTCTGATTAAGGTTTATGTTAGTTATCTTTATTACAAAAAAAAAAAAAAAAATATTGAAGGGGTTTTATATGTGCTTTCTTTTTGATTTAGAAACAGTTCATCCTAGTCTTGGTCATTTAAATATTTACATAGGGCATATCTGAGTAACCTTTCTAATCTTGTGTTACTAAACTTGTAGGAGGCATCCTAGGAAGCTTTCAGTACTCCAGACAATGCATTAACGACATCATATGTTTAAGAAAACACCTTTCTAGAGTATGTTTACGTATTACTGTAGCAACAAGCTTATTATTATAATACATACTCATAGAAATCTACTTCTGTATAGATTTATACAAATTTATTTATATGAGTGTTATAAAATAATTGTTGGCTTACAATCGTTGTAACCTTACATGATTGTGATAATCATGTGCAGTTTATAGTCATTGCGTACCAAATGCTTGGACATAATATGTATACTAATACTTTGACACTAGCTGTAGAAATTTCCTTATAATTCTACAAACATAAATGTTAAGTATACACAGATTTCATTCAGTGTATGATAAGTGTCATGGAAAGTTCAAATTTTTAATGGTAAGAAGCATGTATCATAAGAAAATAATCTTTAAAAGTCATATAAACTTCCCTGATTTCTAATTTGTTTTGCTTAATTTAATTTATTAAAGACACATAGCTGAGCAGCTAATAAAAGACTTTCCTAATCTATTATGTTTAAATTAACACTCTATTCTTCCTACTGTCTCGCATAAAAACAATTACCCCTTGACTTTACTCTGAACAGTTTCAAAGGTCTGTCTTATGCTACAAGTTGCAAGACTAGAGATCAAAGACAAGCTTAGACTGTAGCCCAGGCCATTTGACATAAGCTCTGGAGCTCCCCAATAATGTCATAGTCCACAACCTACTTGAGTTGTAGAGGGATGATAAATTAAAATATTTACTCAGGTGGTAACGGGTATATTTTCAGCATTTTTCTGTAACAACAACTGTCCAAATGAATTTCTGATCTCCTTTAATTGAAAAACTGTCTTTTTTAGTAAGTCCTGGTGGTCCGACAGTATTATAAGCATGCTACTAGTTGTACAATGAGATGTTTACATCTGTTTTCAACATTTCATTGACTTTTTTCACTGCACTGCGAACTTACATTAACATGACATTTTAATTACAAATTCTCAACTTCTCTTTCCACGGTTTTCTATTAATTTTTGCTGCAATAAGTTTTAGGACAAAGTCATTACTAAGGACAAATTCCCCTCTTTAAACACATATAGAATTTTCTATTCGGTGTGCTAGTAGATTAGTATTAGTATTTTTTATTTTGATATTAATTTCTGGATTCCTTAGTGCTTATTTGTTTGCATTTCCTCTAAAGTAGGTCCAGGTGACTAATTTAGTTGTAGGCTTCTACAGTGTTGACATCTACTTCTGGTAGACAAATTCTGCCACAAATGTCTCTCAACTTCTTTTTGCAGCCTCTGAAAAGCAGATGAAGTTAGTTTGCAGAGAGTCTTCTGAAGAGCATCTCCAGCCCTTCAAGGAGAAATTAGAGGAATTCTTCCAGAAAGGTAACCAACTTTGAAAGCCAAAAGTTATTGGCAAATAACGTAGTAGTTTACAAAGTTGTACATAACGTAAGCTGCATTAAATATCTCTTGCCTCTGAAAATTCCTACTGTCTGTTATGGATTATGTTCCTAATGTGCCTAATATGTGTTAATAATGGTTACACAAAACTATGTCATCACTTGTCGAAGATAATTGTTCCCTTGATCTCAACCATTTCTTATTGATTACTTTGGGCTTTGTTCTTTATCATTATTTGCAGGCAAAATGAAAAAGATATTCATCATAGATGAAATTTATCAGAGGGAATATAAGGCTTCAAGTTTATAAAAGACTAGAATGAAAAATACCCTTTTAGAGAACGTCCACGTATATACATGAAGCAATTGCATCTTTTATCAAAAGTGTGCCATGCTTATTAACTGACTAACTCAGATTTAAAGATTTTTGTCTTGTGTGAGACAAATAGGCACAAGGATGTGATTTACCAGGGTAAAGTCGAGGGACAACAGGGGTGAGATCGAAGGTACAATTTGATCATCAGTTCAAGACAATGTAAATGCAGATTGGTGTTGGAAAGAACAGTCCTACGCCCTCCTGTTCCCCAGACTATGTGTTCCCAGTCACCTGTTTCTGTCAGCACCATTGTCTCTGGAGCTGTGCAAAATAGACAAGGGAATAGATTTCCACCCCCCATCCCCCAGATTGGAAGAGCACTATCTGGGTAAACAGAACAAGTGCTGCATTTCTGATGACTATGTTAAATATTGTTAAGAATTAAATATTACCAAAGGACTAGTATTTCTCACACAAATTGTGAACAGTTTAACAATTCACTGTTTGAGAAGTCAATTGAACTATCTGAATCTACTAATCCAGGCAGAATATTTACTTACTATTAGTGATAATTCAGATTGTTGTGATAATTTATGAATTCGCTTAATACTTTTTATAAAGATTGTCCTAATGTCTTTTTAATAACTGTAATTCATGAGACTATCTTATTAAATACTTTGATTAGTGAAAACAGGATGTTTTAAAAGTACAGGTCTCTGTTAAATTGTACTGTTAAATAAACTAATATTCTTCTTCACTCTTCTTCCAGGCTATGGAGCTCAATCTATATATTTATTTAATATATTTTTTCTTTTAGTTGCAAGTGTATTTGGATAGTATTACAGCTGCAAATTTCTTGCCACAGAACTTGTAAAACAAAAACATTATAATTGAAATCTTTATGTCACTGCAGAACAGTTGTATTTACTCTCTAACTTATTTAATTGGAAATTTTCACTTACGGTTTAACAATAACAAGATTGAGATAGTACTATATGTATTTCTACAGAACTCTTACGATCTCCTGCATGCTGCTTAATCTTGCAGATTAGGTATTAGACTCAGGTATGAACTAGATTATAATTCAGTTTTGCTAGGTCTTGCCAAGACCCTCACCAAATGGTGCATTCCACAATCACATCACAGATTCTGTAATGCTTATTACACCCTGGATCTCCTGAGGACTGTTGTGGTTAGCCTGATAGGCAGCTAAGCACCACACTGCTGCTTGCTCACTCCTCCTTGGTGAGGTGAGAAAGAGGGTGGGAAGGGTAAAAGAGAGAAAAGGTGGGAAGGGTAAAAGAGAGAAAACTCATGGGTGGAGATAAAGACAGTTCAATAATGAAAGCAAAAGCTGCATGCACACGTGAAACAAAACAAGGAATTCATTCACTACTCCCCATCAGTAGGCAGGTGTTCAGCCATTTCTGGGAAAGTAGGACTTCATGCGTAATGGCTACTTGAGAAGACAAACACTGTAACTCTGAACTTCACCTGCTTTCTCCTTCTTTCCCCAGATTTATTGCTGAACATGATGTCCTATGGTATAGGTTATCCCTTTGGTTGATTTGGCCAGCTGTCCCAGCTGTGTCCTGTCTGAACTTCTTGTGCACTCCTAGCCTACTCTATGGGGTCAGCGTTAGAAACAGAGAAGGTCTTGATGCTGTGCAAGCACAATCTAAAACATGGGTGTGTTATCAACACTGTTTTGGTCACAAATTCAGTACACAGCACCATATGAGCTGATATGAAGAAAGTTAACTCCACCCCAGCACAGCAGAAGGAACAGCAAATGCGTATCACCACAGTCCCAAAAAATAGAGGCAACACAGTACCTGGTTTCTTCTGCAAAGCTGACCTACCTGACTTTCTGATAAGTGGAACATGATAAAAATTCTCAATGGATCTTGGAAGATTATTAGTTCCGCTTTAGAGAAAATTGCAATTTAATTGTACACTATTCTTTCAAATAAAAAACCATATTCTTCAAAACATTGGCCCTGTTTATGCCAATCGATGTGAAAATTGAGATATATTTATCTTTGTCAGTGTAACAGAAAATTTTTTCCTTATTTTTCTGGATGCTGTATATATTTTTTTAAAAAGAGAGGATACATTCCTGCATGGTGTCTTCGGACAATGAGTTCTTTATCTAAATTACTAAATTTATTGGACACTTTTTAGTTTTTCAGGTTTTTGTATGCTAGAAAGAGCAAAAACACAGAGATTACTTACTTGTCCGCTTTTTTCTTGTGTATGTTCTCTTGTTCTTATGCTTTATAATATTGTGGTTTATGGTATCTAATCATATACATTTAATTATATCTAATTTAACTTCTCATCTTTTAACATTTCTGTTTCATCTACCTTCTTCTGAGATGAGTTGTCACTAGGTTGTCAGATCCTGTAATTATTGACCCTATTTCTCCTTCAATCACTGGTTTTATTGGAATCTTTATAATTGGTGGGTGGAACTTTCTGTGGCATTAGAATGAACATTCTATAAAATTCTACACTGAAGATAGGTAAAAATAATACTGAAACTCGTCTTCATTTATGATACTAGAGTAGGCATTGGGCAAATGTCAAACTTGGAATTCAGTTTAGATAAATGTCTAGAAACTCAGCTGCTTTTCTGAAATTAGGAGTTAACTGATAATACTGAGCATCCGTTAAGCATCTGCTTTCAGTTTTGTTTGTTTAAAAAAGAGTTGTGGTTGGTTTAAGCAAATGTAAGAAAAAATCATCTGTTATCTTTCTGTCAGCTCACAGCAAGTATCCAAAGCTCAAATGCTTTTCTGAAACTTCTGGATTGAAAATAAAGCTGGAACTCATAGATATTCAGGTTTTTCTCACATGCACAATTTCCCATCATTTCTAGTTAGTGCTAAGTTGGAAATACTCTAAGAAAAAAAAAATGTTTATTTGCTTAAACTGAACTGTTTACATTTCCTAATTACAATTAATAGCAATTAAATCTAATACTTGCTGTGTTGTAACAAAAAACACTGATGGTGTTATGGAGACTGACATTCTAAAAATCTAGAGGGGATAAACTGTACTTCTGCTGATGTCAGTGCTGTTTTGTATAACTGGATGTGATGTAGCCTAGTGCCTTCAACAGGGAATTAGGTGCCAGAACCTTTAGGTTCTATTCCCAGTTTAGCTGCTTGACATGTGATACTAGAACAGTTGTTTAATCTCTTTTTCAGAGAATGATTCATTTTTCTGGTACACAGAATGTTAAATAATGATTCTTGCTGGGTTTTGTAGTGAAGGATAATCTTTGTCAAGTACTTTGTGATTCCCACAGGAAAGATATCATGTGTAAACTGTCTTAATACTTCATTAGCTGTACTTGATATGCCCATGGTTTTTGAAAAGACCCTAGATAATTCTTAAAGTGGAAATAATCTTTGGTAGATTTAATTATATTATATGCAACAAATTATATTAGTTTTACTGTAATATGGAGACCTAAGAATTACTATAAATTGATATGCACTTAACTGTGTTTCCAGTGGTATTACTGTATGGTTTTTTTCAGAAATATGTTCATAATGTTTTCCATTTAAATTGCCACTATATGCAAAAAGAACTTTGACATGACAAAATTAATATTTGGTTTGGAATGCTCCTTAATTTATGAAATTCTTGCTCAGGATTGCTTAGAAGAAAACTCTGTTTTTGATACAAAGGTATCTCACACACAAAAAAAATCCGAATAGTTAGATGGATATGAGAAAGATGCAAAATACTCTATTTTGAAAAGGAGAAAAGAAAGAGTTTGGTTACTGCATCTATGAAGCTCACTAGAAGGGATGCTGGCCAGCAGCCATTGATGTTAGTTTTTCATGACATTTTTTATTCTCCTTGTCCATTCTCTCAAGAATAATACAAACCAGAAAGTAAATGACGTACAGGAGTGGGCGACTAGCCTTAATAAAATTTATTTCTTATTTTACTGCTTGACTATTTCATATTGTTTGTCTATTTTAATAAATGTGGAAAAGCATAACACAGATTCATGCAGGGTCTTGCAAAATCTGGTCCCAAATTCCCCTTCATTGATTCCAGGTTAGAAAGTACGTAAAAACTTTATTCTGGGCTCGATTTCCTCCCTCATATGCTGGAATGTGCAAATCAAAAAGTTTTTATGCTTCATAGCAGTTAGCATAGGAAGAGCATAGCTGCCTCTCTTCATCTCTCTAAGAATAAAGCGTCTTAATGATGAAGACTTTGATATTAAAGGAATTCATTTAGTTTACAGCAGAGTCTGGGAAGCAAGTAGTCTGATGTCAAGACAGAACAGTTTTTTAAAATCATTAATAGTGGAAAGCAAAGCTGTTTGGGAAAGGCACATGGTACACTGAAGTTTCCAAGGTAACAAGCAACATGGAGAGGGAGGGATTTGTCAAATAGAGTAGATCTGTTGAGATTAATCACACAGTAAAAGAAATTCTCCTGTGTTTAGAATTCTAGCCTAGCACTTAGGAAACATTGGTTAAGTTCATTGCTTGGCTACGACTGCTGTGTGTCTTTACTACATAAAAGATCAACACTGTGCAGTCATGGGACTGTAAAATAGAAAAATAGAGTCGTAGACCAAGTGACTCACCGCAGCATTATGTCAGGAGGTAGTGCGCTTTACAGCCACATGGAAAATG